TTTCATTATTTCAGAATTTGCTTGCAACACATACTCTAAGTTTGTTCTCCAAAGAGCTGAGCTGTCTTTGCTGAATACCCCATTGCCCCAAACTTCACTACCAAAGCTCTTGATTAAAAACTAATAGGCAAACCCCCAAACAGATGTCTTTTAGCTTTACAGAACTGTGTACAATTGAAAACAAGGTCTTGTAATGAACAGTAGGTTGCGAGCAGTTTTGGGGAACATTGAGAGCTCCATTGGTGATAAAATCTATGAAGAAATTCTAATCTTTGGGCATATATATATATATTTGGCATATATATACACACACATATGCATACATGTGTGTATTCCTGCCAACATTTGCTTTCACTTCACGGTAAATGTGTAATGGCTTACCCCTCTTCCATTGAGAGAGGAGCAGTCTAAGTTACTAGGGGACAGAATCATGCATGTAAGCAATTAATGTGGATTAACTGATGTAACACACATTCACTGCCTTTGGGCTTGAATGTGGCATACCCTGACGACCTACCTAGTATGCTGTTTGCTTGTTTAACACAAAATAAAACCCAAGCAGTGAACAGAACCTTTGTCTGATGTGTCTCATACTTGCTGCTGTGGTTGTAAGGTCCCCTTTGTGCTAGAGTAAGCTCTAGTCTGGATATTTTGCACTGGGGGAGGGGGGGGGGGCACGCTTGTGCTGAAAAAAATAGCTGTTACAGATGGTTATTTCTAATGATAGTCACAAAACTAAACTTTTACTGGTACTTTGGGACCCAAATGGAGCCTGTCCCTTCAACAAAATTGGTTTAGTCTCAGAAGTGTATCTAGTATTGTAAACTTCCTGTTTTATACATTTAATTGTCAGTAGTGTTTCTCCTAGGGGATAGCCCTTTAAAACCAGCTGATAGAACTCAGTTGGCCTTTAAGTATTTCAATGCAGCAACAGTAATCAGAGGGTTGCAAATGACAGTAGCATTCCTGTATTTTCTGGAGTGCAGTAAAATCTCTGAGGATTTTAGATTGGATGTCATATTGTAAAATAAAATGATGGGGTTTCTTCATCTAAGCAACTTATTTTTAACTCCAAAACTCTTGAGTCTATTTTCGTTTTTGTTTATGTAAAAGGGAGAGTAGAATATTGCATTTGTTTTAGTAGGATTATGCTGTGCAAAGCAGATGTTAAGCTCCTGAAACTCACAAAGGGGGCTTTATGTTCTTTCACATCTGTCTCTGCATAAACAGCTCTGTTAACTCTTTTAGGGCTCATGTACAAAGCTCCCTGCTTCTATTACGAGACTGCCTCAGGAAGGACTCGTGGGGTCCCCATTTCAGGGGGGATGGGGGTGGGAATCCTTGAGAACCCAACTGAATTCAAATACTGCCCTCTTTGACTGTGTGAGTTGCCAAAAGAAAGAATGTCCCTGTCTGTATAGGTCCAAAGAGAAAGCTTGGGAAGGTTGTCATGTTTTATTGCCTTGCAGCTTACACGAATAGTGCGATAGTAAGTCTAAAGCATTTTCTTAAAGCCCATGTTATAAAGCTGCTTGGCGTTTCATCTCATAGGCAGTTCTCGGGAGGCTCTTTGCACTAGGTAGGAGTTTGAATTCTTGTGTCTCTCTGCCAAAATCCATCAATGAAACTTTTTCATACCAAACCGATATATTTTCTTTTTTATGGAAAGTGGAAAGTATCACTTTGGCAGAAGAAACAGTGCAGTATGCTCTATTGCACTTTTCCTGCTAAGATACCACCTTTACCTTAAATTTAAAAGCTCTTTTTTGCTTTTAGTCTCTAATGAAACTTTGTCCCTTTTTTATCCTGATTTATCTTGGCAGTACAATTTGGAGTTTAGAAATTGGAGAATCTCAGCAGAGAATGAAGCATAGGTATCTGCAAAACTTTGTCCTGAATGAGCAGTACAGGCTTGAAAGGTGACGTCTGGCCATGCTAGAATCTGTAGAAGGGGTTTACTACTGATTTTTGGTAGGACTGGGCTTCCGTCCTTTCTGGGTTCCGGGAAATTGATGCTTAGCAACATAAAAACTTGCACCAGTTGAATTAAATAAAATTTGTAAGACAAGTAGCAATAGGACAAGAGGGGATGGCTTTAAACTGACAAAGGGGAGATTAGAATAGTTATAAGGAAGAAATTCTTTACTGTGAGGGTGATGAGGCGCTGGCACAGGTTGCCCAGAGAAGCTGTGGCTGCCCCGTCCCTGGCAGTGCTAAGGCCAAGTTGGACATGGGGGCTTGAAGCAACCTGCTCTAGTGGAAGGTGTCCCTGCCTGTGGGTTGGAACTAGACGAGCTTTAAGGCCCCTTCCAACCCAAACCATTCTATGATAAATCAGTTTAACTTTACTACAGTGAACCTTTGTAGTAATACTGGCATTTTTTTGACTGGGGTATGTCATCTGCCCCTGTCTGATTTACGTGTGAATAAAAAAGTCACTCTGGAGTAAGTATCCTAATGAATTTAAAGTCTCACTTAGCACTTCTTCATATGCAGACAAAAGCCAAGTTTCCACTAATGAGAGAGAATAGTTTAGCTTCCTTCTTCATGTCATTTAACATTGTGTAGCCCACCATGGCTGAACAATTGATCAGTACTTTATAGCAGAAATGTTGCTCAAGGTTTCCCCCATTACCTTGTCATGGTGTGCTGTCCTTCCCTGCACCAGCTCTGGACCCCACAGTGGTGGGGTGTCCTCTCTGTTTGGTTTCTTGAAAGGCCTGCAACTGAAAGGGAGCCTAGCCTTGCTGCGGATAGCTCTGGTTCATCCGGGAAGGAGCTTAGATCTGTCAGGTAGCATTACTTGGTAGCTAGATTGGATATGCTATTGTTTTAATTTGTGATTTATGCAGGAATAAGCTACTTGTATAATAGTTCAGTGCTGTACCTGAGAGCTGAGACTGCCTGGAGCTTGGTGGGGGGTGAGATTGTTCATCTTCAATTAGTGATCTATTGCCATTGTCTAATAGGATGTGACTGTGTAATGGTAAGAAGGTGAAGGAAAATTTGCTGTCAGGATGATGTTGTATTTAAGCCTCCTTTTGGTGTCAAAGCAGCCCGTTAAATTATTGCAGATCTCAAGGTCAGTAGAAATGTTTTGTTGAAAATGGTTCTTAGCCTGGATTTAAATGTTCCCCTGAAATTTTGGGCACCAGGGGTTATTGGAGAATAACCCTAATCCACAAACCCCAGAAGGTAAAATGGACTACTGCAGTCTTGCTACTCAAAATGAGCAAAATGTAAATAGTAAAGCTAACACAAGAGGGAAATCTAGATTTTAAAACTAGCTCTTTTATGAATCATAGAGGTTTCCTTTAAAAAATGGTGAATTACAAATCATCTTCAATTCAAGAGAAATCTATGGCAGAAAAAAAAACGGTGTTTTGCTGCATAAAATAGTATCAACATTCCTGTACACTGCAAAACCTCTGGTGTCCTCATGGACTTGTTTCTGTGTGGTACGCACTGAAATTCCACTTGTCTGAATCATTTGAGTAAGATATTTCAAAAAAGTTTTATCCTTCTCAGTTTTAAGTCCACTTACAGTGACCATATGTTTAAACAGGGGCAAGCTGAATGAATGTGCTCTTTGATACAAGACAACAAAGCCCGTAACTGAGAAGCTTTGCTGCTCTTTGGGCAAGCCCAGTTGATTTAACTTGGTACATGCTTATGAATCACCAAACTTACTGTACTTACTATACTGGAGTCATGCTAAACAAATAAAACTTTGCTTCTGAGGAGCCTGGCATGTGTTTCAAGAGGCTGGCATTGCATTTTCTTTACATGATGGCAGGAATGGCTTGCTTAACCTTTTAATTGGCAGGAAGAAAACTCACCTCATGGCCTGAGCCACAATCATCTCTGAATAATGTAAACAGTGATGACCTGAACTTGATCTTTTAGACAAGGGACTCTCTTTTCTTGGTAGCTGCATTATGCAGACAAGCTAATGCTCTGGGGTCAGTGAGGGGCTTTTGTGTATCCAAGCACAATAAAGCTAGAAAGTGTTTCCTGCTGCTTAGCTAATTAATGCAGGGTACCACTCTGTAGGAGTCGGCAGTGGGTTTGCTGCCTGTTACTGGTATTGTAGTGCCTGCAGAAGGACACAGAGCAAGGCATGTGCTAAGGGAATAAATTCTCTGTCTTTCTGCTCCTGTTGCAGGACAGAAAAAGAACTTAGGGAAGTCAGCTCTCAATTCATTTGGTGAGAAGGGAAAAAATGTGGTACTGGAATGGTCAATAAGTATTTCTCAGAGTTTTAAATACGTAACAAAAATAAATGGATAATACCCTGTGTGTGATGTGATGCTGCCAGAACAGAATTATATGTGTGTGCCCTTAAATTGCCCTCCTTCCTGACACTGGAGGGCACATCTGAAAGGAAAAGATGGACAGCTTTTGCCTACTAGACTTTTCCCTTAAATCATGTTTTATGATGTACCATAAAGAATTCTATTTGAGACTTCAAAAGCACATATAACATTGTGACATGTATTTTCTAATGAAAATCTACTGCAAAGCAGTGAGTTCCTTTTCAGTAGCTAATGTAGCAAGATATACAAAGGCATTTAGAGTCTGCTCTGATTTTGTATTCTGGTCAGGTGCAGGCAAATTGTAAAGAGAAAATTGAAGGTGTCATAGTGAACTGCATGTACTGCATACTTGAGCAGTAAGGGAGCTAAATCATCTTAATTCTTGCTAGAACCTAACTGGGTACGTGCTGCCTGTGGCTGCCTGCTTTCTCAGCAAGTTTTTAAGTGGATTATTAACTAAGTGTAGTGCTGTTTGCAGCATCTTAAGTTTGACAGACATGTGATTGTGCAGGGGGAGGGTAGGGGAAAAGGGTGGTTGCTTTCAGGCAAAAGCTTCTCATAGATGAATGTCTTCGAAACAGTATCTTGCAGTTCTGTCCCAGATTAAAAATAAATAAAACAAATGGTGTATGGGTTTCATGTCCAGAGAATAACTCTTCTGAGTTCTTTTGTTTCTTTCCACAGAACTGCTTAATAAAACATGATGAGAACGGATACTCAGCAATAGTGGGAGACTTTGGTTTAGCAGAGAAAATTCCTGATCACAGGTATGTGAACTAATTTAAATACAGTAAGAATTACAGTGCTATTGCTGTGATGAGCCGGATTCCTGAGGCCATTATTGGATTGGGATGATTTTGTAATAAATGTCCTCTGTTCATTCCAAACTACTTTAATTGGCTTCTTCCATTTTCAGAAACAATATTCAGTGGCATTCCAGTATTATTCTCTTTAACCTCTGGGTTAGTTGTTAAGATCCAGGTTTATAACGAAGAGGTATTAAAATTACTGTCTTAACAGTAGCTCACCATTTTGCTTTCCCTAGGATGAAATTATAATCTTACTCATGTGAGGAATGCACAGGTGACTGTCACAAGCTATTGTCACAATTGGAAATAGTCCTTTTGTCATCCCTCCATTAGGGAGATCAAGGACAAGGATTTCATTGTTCTGTCTGTATATTGACTTGTGTATTTCAGGGTATTCTGGCTGTGAAATATGCTGTCAGATTTTCTCCAGTCTGCTTCTTTGTAAAATAAAAAGCCTTCTAGCTCTTTTGACTGCAAAGAAAACAGTCATGCACTGTTTTTAAAATGCACATATCCTCAAGCTGTGTCTTGGGAGGTCTAAAGGCTTGCATTAATGTTGATGAAATATTGATCTAAAAGCTTAAGAAAGTAGACATCTTAATTTCCAAACTATCGCTAAGTACAGCCAATGTGTGCCTTGTACACTCACGTGGAATCTCTGCCCTTTAAAGTGCTGACAGCTTCAACTGTATTTGTACAAACCCATCACAAAATTAGGAAGGCACCACAGGTGCCTTAAGGTGTTATTAATAACCAGTTTTGAGATGTTCTGGAAACAGAGAGTACAGTAATAGCTGAAGTTAAGGTAGCTTGATACTAAACCAAACAACACAATAGAGTTGTTAGCCACCATTTTGATTTGATGTCAGTCTTACCTCTGTTTTCAAATGCAGTTTGTTGTTTCCAGTGTGCTGGCTTGCAAGCTGTGCTATTTTGAGGCCTTCAGAGGCCTTTTGTTTGTTTTTTTCCTTCACGGTCAGCTGGGTGGCAAGCTGGAGGCCTTTCTTCAGGCTGTAGTATTCAGCCATATGGAAACACTGCAAATTTTCCAAATCTGCTCTATTCTGATTACTTTTAATTTTTCCTAGTTAAAGGATTCAACTGGTCAATTTTGACTTCTTATAAAAAATGCAATTTGCAAGCAGGTTGTACTGAATACTTTCAGAGCTGCTTATCGGTATGCACGTAGGGATGGATACCTGCATGTCTTGCTGCATGAATGGACAACTTGACATCTAGCCTGAAACTGATTTCCACAGACCTTTCTATGTATAGATGAAGGAGCCATCTTCGCCAAGAGTTTGGAAACCAAACCATTGAACACCATGACCTTAAAATAATTTGATTTTTTAAAGTGGTCAGCCACTTATAAACTGGAAATAAGAGTAACTCATTGAAGCTTTCTTTTTCTTTCACATTCTCCTCCTGCTATTGCATGACTCCAGTAGGAAACCAGTGTAAAATACAGTATGTTATAGAACCCACTTGTGTTGACTTCCCTCTAGTGAAAGTTGCTGCAGATACTTGGAATTATGTGAACGTTAGTAGCATGCCTGAGCATTTAATTAATGGTGGTTCTCTCTCTTCTCCCTTTCCACCCATCTATCCCATATCTATACAGTGAGAAGTTACCAGTGGTGGGTTCACCCTTCTGGATGGCACCAGAAGTTCTCAGAGATGAACCCTATAATGAAAAGGTAGGTACATGATATAAATGGACTTTAGTTGTCAGATGTTTCTGTTCAGTAGCTGTATACAAGATTTAAAGTTTCCATACTACTAAAATTACTGTTACTTTCATTTGTGCCATTTCTGTACTCAGGCCATTCAGACTAAGAGAGAGTGTAGTTGAATAGCTACTATTTAAAATTCATGGTGTGGATTCTTATATGGAAATAGAATTACCTTTAGCATAATTCACTGTTATGCTGCTTCCATTCTGAAACACCCCACATGTAGAAATATGGTAATGGATTGTTGACCTAACACAACAAGTCTCATGAGAAAAGTAGTGAGGTTGCTTCCCTGACCATACATTGGTGAAATCTGGGTAGAAGTAAAAGGTCTGTATGGAAACTTTTATAATTGTATTATTAAAAAATAAATAAAAAGAAATCAACTTTTCTCAAGGTAAGATACCTTTAAAAATGTTCTCCAAAGGTATTTCTAAATTTTCCTATTTGTGGCATTGGGAAATGTTTCTTTTGGAGGAGGATCAGATCACACTGGATTTTAGAAACAGCTTTTTCAATCAAGCTCTTCTTTACACAGGATTTTCTCACAGCTTTTCTGTGTGAAAACCCACATCCTGTACCTTTTTATAGCTAGTAGTCAATCTGTTTAATTGGTGGTACTTTTAACGTGCAGGAAAGCAGTAGCTAAATTAGTAATGAATGTAATAATTAGCATTTCAAAGCTTTTCTAACAGTTCTAATTGACCTAAATTAATAATAAAATACCCAAATCCATGGTGCCACATTCCTCACTAGCCCTAGGGTGTGGAGAACTAAAGAGGAAGTGGGTCTCACACCTCATCAGCATAAAAAATGACATAAGCCTGCCTGATATGTAAGGGATGAGGGATGTCGGCTTCTGCTCTGTAGACTTGTATTCCATGTTTTTCTAAATTTTATTACATGATAAATTCAGGTGGGTGGAAATCTGAGGAACTGTGCAGTTCCAGGGGTAGTCAGATAAGGGATTACTAAGCGTCATGGAAATTTCAATGGAAATTGATGCTGGTGTGCAGTGTTACTAGATATCTCAAGCTTTGGGAAGGACACTGTTTTCTCCAGAGGTACTGAACTGTGAGAAAAGCTTTTCTTAAAAACATTGTTCTGCATTAATATTCTGGATAAGCTGTGATCCTGTGTATTCTAAACCCATCTTTCTAACCACAGTGATATAGAGGCATGTCATGGTTTTGCTATGTTTTTAATTACTCACATCTGTAAGACATCAAATGCAATTGCACCATTCTTTATGCAAAGAAGGATTTTTTTTTTCTTAATTTTTCTCTTTTTTTAATTAAGAATGGTTTGGTGGGGTGTTTTGCTTGTTTGTTTTTTTTTTTCTTGAAAGAGTTATAAAATTATTGCTGTTCATGCAATAAGAATGCTTTACTGTGAGCATGTGTTTCTTCTCATGAAAAATGTTCACTATAATGCAGTTGCTTAGCATTGTAAGGCTGTGGTGTTGGTTTAGTTGTTTCATGATAACCATTTGGGGTAAAGAGAGGCTCAGTGGCAGATAAGAACACTGAATATTCAGAGCTTAACCATGTGCCTATATTTTTTTCCTCTCGCAGGCGGATGTGTTCTCCTATGGTATAATTCTGTGTGAGATTATAGCAAGAATACAGGCAGATCCAGACTATCTCCCTCGCACAGAGGTAAGTGGTTACGTTTATAACATCAGTGGGAGGTGGTAAGTATGCCATGATAATGGCTGGCCTTTAGAACTTCTGGCACTGCTGCCAAAGATACGATGAATAGGTGTTACATTAAAAATAGCCTGTAAAAGGCTTTTGTTCTTCTCTGCTGTTATTGTAAGAAGCTCCACTGAAAACACTTACAGAGACTTTGTCCAGCTGCAATCCTCATGGGAAATCCTTTCCTGTCCCTAACTGGCAGAACACTGAGAGCACTGCAGTGCAGACTCTTCCTTTTGTAGAGTGATAGCTCATGTAGACTTCTTGCCAGTTTTGGAGCAGAGCACTTCTGGCACACTGAGTGCACTAAGCAGTTCCTCCTTGTGAAAGTGGCAGGAGCTATGCTAGCAGCAGCTAAAATAAGCTCACCCTTATTTTTGCATAGACTGTGCTAAGCACCATGGATCTGAGCTGGAATCAGCAAATCAAATGAGGTATTTCTTTCTTCAGTTGCCTTTTGGTTGAGTCCCATCTGCAGGGTAGCTTTTGGCCCTGGGGAGGGTGTCTTCCAAATTGTCTTTCCCCCTCCAATTCTGAAAATGCAAAATTGCTTAGGTCTTCGACTGCAGTAAATAACAGATACTTTTGCTTCCCTGCCCCTCAGATTTTATAGTGCGTTTAAGCAACTGGATAGTTTGTATTACCAGTCTAACATTCACTGAGAGATTAACTATGTTAACTGATAAATTTTAATTATAGCATAGGTTTTATAGCAGACTTTTAATTTGCACTGTGAAAGTCACCAGGGTGAAACATCATAATGTAAGATGCTGCCAGTGTGGATCTGGAAGCAATATTTCAACTGCAGTGGATTGCAGTTGAGTCCAGGAAGAAGAATGGGCTTTGAAGTCAGTTCATTCTCTAACAGGTACCTTGTATAATGTAATCCCCATTAGGAATGCTGCAATTTGGAATGTGCATGAAGTTTTCTCAAAATACTCTGTATATGGCTGCTGAGAGATGGTGTTCATGGTTATTCCTGATAACACTCCACTGAAAAGAAGATGCTTTGGGCCAGATAGCAGACCTCATTTATATCTCTATGCTGTGTTCTTGTTTATACAGAATTTTGGATTAGATTATGATGCCTTCCAGCACATGGTGGGAGACTGTCCTCCTGACTTCCTCCAGCTGGCCTTCAACTGCTGTAATGTGAGTATCTTACTTGAAGGGGAGAGGCCAAAACTGCAGTTCTCTAAATCCCTCTGGTTTTTGAAGATAGAGCTTAAAGCATTTGCAGAAGAGACTTGAAGAGCCTACCTATAAAAGCAGCATACATTCTGATAACCCAGAAAGTCCCCTACAGTTTTTATAACCCTTTCCTTGAAAAAAGGTCTAACTTGTGTTTTTGCAGTTCTGTGTTCTGTCATGCCAAACAAACAGGTCTGGCACACTGAACAGCTTCTTGCAGGCTGCTCAGACTGATCATAACCAGTTGTACACTATTGACACTGGCTGGCCCTCGGGCTGACAAAAATCCAGCTGTTATTGTGAACAGACCTGTTGAGCCATGAAGAAAGAATTCTGAGTTCTCACAAACAGAGGAGACAAATCAAGAGCAGGCACTAAACTACTGTAAAGTCTCTATATGCTGCCTTTTTGGAAAGTGGGATAAACCTCCAAATCCCTAGCCCATGTTCCAAATGATTGAATACAGGCAATGTGCTGTATGGAGTAAATATTCTGCCCATTATTCAAGTAAAATTATGATATAGTGCTGGATACCTTCATGGCTCCTCAGTGTGAAAATTCCAAGGAAGTACATCTCTTTTGTGCATTATCCCATAAGGTTCTTAGTGCCTTTGTACAGTAAACCAGTTTTTATGAAGTAAAAGAACCTGAGATTCCACCAGATTTGGCTGAGGTTGGGAATGTCCAGTTTGCACAACTCAAATTGAGACAACTTCTAAAAATTTTACTGAACAAAACTTTGACCAGGGCTCCACAATGAGACCATGCTAGAGCCAATACCTGCACTGTGTGCAAGTGTTTGTAAGGAAAGTCTCATCTCTCTTATTTTTGCCTTGAGCTCTCTCTTTACTTTGTATCAGTACAAATGCACATGCTCAAGGGCAGAATAGTATAAAGGTAAGGATGTGACCAGGTGGGGGTGACTGCCACTCTTGACACAAGGTAGCATAATTTAATTCTAAAAATGTTTGTGGAACTTATTCTAGACAAGCTACCTCACTCCTCTAATTTCACCTTAGTGCAGTGGAGCTTGCTTCATCAGGACTTGTGACTCATGTTTATAGAATGAATCATAGAATAGTTAGGGTTGAAAAGGACCTTAAGATCATCTAGTTCCAACCTCCCTGCCATAAGCAGGAACATCTCGCAATAAACTGTGTTGCCCAAGGTTCTGTCCAACCTGGCCTTGAACTCCACCAGGGTTGGAGCATAAAGTGAAATTATGAAGTGTTTTGACTATGTAAGCACTGAAGAGTTTGGCTAGAGATAGGATTTGACTTTGGAAATCTCAACTCCTACCTGCAGACTCCAGAAATCGTACTGCATCCACACACAGTGCATGATTCAAAGCAGTTTTTCAGCACAGGTGAAATTCAGAGTAAAACTATTCATGAAGAAGGGGCAAGTGGCTGATCTTATATTCTCACGTAAGAATTTGGTGTGTTCAGAGAAAACACTTTTTTTCTCTGACTGATTATGGTCAAGTGCTGCTCCTGTATAATAAACATCCCTTCCCTGAACTGAAAGTGGAAATTACTGTCTTGTGATCAAGCCATTAATATGTTGATTTCAGTGTGGGGCATGCTATAACTCACTCACTGCTTACCTAATAGGAGGAAAAAGGTAGTGAACTGATAAGGCTTCTTATACCTGCCTAAGTGTGCTTCAGTAATAGGTGATCTGTTTGATAATTTGCTCTTAGACTTGGATGTTTATATAGCTTTTTATTATTTAATAGGTCAAGAAAGTGTAAACTGTATAGCTCAGCTGATTAGCTGAACTAATGTGGAAAGCCCTGGGGGTTAAGGGCAGCCTAAGAAAACCAGTAGACACTGACATGTATGAGTAGTGGATTAAAATTTCTTCAATTTACTGTTACAAAGTGTTTGGGTACATGCAGGGAAGTCTAAAACTTAAGGCTGCCTAACAATTATAAGCTTACGCGTGTGAACACTTATAAACTTAATCATGTATCCTCATGCAAAAAGCTTACCAGCATAAGCTGAGCTGAGGGCAGCTGCTGCTTTGAGGAAAAACCTATTCCATTTGATCAGAATCTGGACTGCTCGGGGATGGAAGAGGCAAATGTTGCTCTAAGTTCCTTTTCCATTGCTTCTCTTGTCCTGGATCTTACCTAGACAGAAAAGCCAGAGAACTCTTCTTTCTTCCATAGCTTGAAACAACTCCCTAAGCTTCTCAAATTAGTAAATTTGCCAGTGTACAGAATGTGTGCTTTCATGTTGCCCCTGCCCTACTCTTTCAGTGAAACAGGGAAAGCAGAAAAAGATGTTTTCCTATGCCAGGAAATTCCAGCTACTGCATTAGAACAACTTTCTTGCTGGTCTTGAGCTTTTCAAGTATGGTTTGTTTGGTTTTTATTACTGTGTATATGAATTCTTAGCCCTTTACTCTGTGTTGCTAGAAGGTGTTCTGGCATTGCTGATCATACCAGTTGTCTTCAGAAAGATCCATCTCGTATGACCTGCAAGGCAGTATCAGGGAGGTCTTTAGGGTTTGCTGTGTACAAAGCACCGTTGTTCCCTTTGTACTCGAGGTGAGATCTGTCTGGGCTTGTTCACTCTGAAAAAGCTTTTGGAGGGCTGGAAACAGGAATCAGCTCAAGCAGAATCTTTCTTAATAGTGTAATGAGGTTAGCTTTCAGCTGCTGAATTAGACATTGCTACCTACAGTAGTTAAACCTGTAACATATATACAGGGTCAATGTTCAAAATTAAGAAACACCTTCTAAGTTACTACAGACATTGAGCTTGCCCTCTAGTACAATTTTAGTGTTGGATTTAGTTTAGAGATCTATTCCTACTAGGGTGAACACATAAATACATACTTATAAATACAAATGGAATGCATATGGATTGGGGGGGGATATATTTTACTTTGTCAAAGATGGATTTTTTCCTACTGTATTACTTTTTCGAATGATGTACCCAGTCTTGCTTCCCACAAGACAGACCATTACACCGAGTGAAGTTCATTAGCAGATGGAAAGAGGCAACATTTTAAACTTCAAATCAGCAATGCTATTTAGGTGGGGTTTTAATTAAAGCCACAAGGAGATGATGGAAGAAGCACAAACTTTTAAAGAATGACATAGCCAAGCTGCTCTGTTTAATCCTTTTGAAATAATGTTGATATATAATCTCTGACTGATAACTTGGGAGTCCAGAAAGAAATCTTTGAACTATGAAAGCTGTTTCAAACAAACAACCCCCCCTAGCAAGCCCTGAATCTAACAGCTTCCCACCTTTTCAGTTTAAAATGCATCTTCTTTATGGAATGTTTACAACTTGATCACAAAATGAGAGAGTTTAAACTAGGATACAATACTACTTTTCCCCTACTTTATTTATTTCTTTTGCAATGTCAATGCACTTCTTAAAACAGTCTTGAATTTCCTCAGTTCCTTCAGGTTATCCCTCTGTCTGTCCACTGTGTAAGTAGAATAGCCTGGACAAACCCACATGAACTCTTTTGATTTGTGTACATTCACAGATGGATCCAAAGTTGCGTCCTTCATTCTCTGATATTGTCAAAACACTGGAGGGTATTTTAAACCGCCTGAGAAATGAGGACACGGAGAGAGAGAGAAAGTTTTTGAACCTTGACAACAGTGAAAGAAAACCCAAAGGTAAGTGTCTGTACTGTACAAACATTGCTGCAGGCTATGAACACTGCTTCATACTTGAAAACTGGGATTTTGGTTCTATGTGGTATTATTTACACCTTGTGAATGATTTTACTCAAAGCCTAAAAATTATTCTGGAACAATGCTATATTCTTTGCACTGCAGAGTGTCCTTTGGGTAAAACAAACAGCTGTTTCTTAAAGTGCCTCGTAAGATTCTGTCCACAAGCTCTTGAGGGGAAATTTAGAATTCATTCGGGAATGGTTTTGTAAGTTGGTAATAGTACATGAAAATTCATCAACTTTTGTTTTGCCCCTGCCATATTTAGTGCATATACATAATTTCTTTGGTGTATGTTACATGTAACTCTTAGATGCTTCTTAACTTCCTTCAGGAGGAAGAGCAGAGAAGAGACAAAGGTATTATAAAGTACCTAGACTGGGAAAAAGCTGAATCCCAGATCTTGGGAAAGCTGGCCATGAAGGGGTTTCTCTGAAGCTGCCTAGTGCCACCTGGTGCTGGGAGCAAACTGCAAGCAGTTCTTGGAGGCAGGGGCATGTTCTGACTTGGGTATCTTTTATGTTAGTAGACTTGGAAACTTACAGGATGATAAAAATAATTTCTCTTATTGTGTATGTATAAATATGCAACGTATCTATACATATCTGTCTCTTTGTAATATGATTATAGATTGAAATAAGTTCTGTATTTCGAACTACATGGAGTGCATACATCTAGTAGTTCTCCCACACCTGGAAACATCTAAAAGAGGTGTGAGTTAAAAAGGAAGTGTTTTTTTGTTGTTGGGGTTTTCTGGCTTGTTTTTTCTTTTTTCATTTTCCTGGCATTCTCCCTTTGGAATATGTGTCAAATGTGCATCTTCTTGGAGAAGTGTTACATGCTGTACTTTGACTTGCATAGTCTTTCCTAGGTGGAATGACTACAGTCTAAACTGTGGCAGTATTTAAAGGGAAAAGTGAAAATATGTATGTGCTTGTTCTGCAAATGGTAATCAAAAGGATATATCACTTCTTTATATCCACTTGTTCTTGCTCTACCACAGCTCTTCAGAGACACCTGGAAAGCCAGCGGCAGATGCATGCCTCAAACACCCAAGGAGGTAGCATCTTGTCCTAAACAACTACAATTTTTCAATCCTGTTCTAGTGCTGCAGCATTTATTTTGGTCTTAAACTTTTCCCATCAGGGTGAAAAAGTCCCAGTTCCTTTGGCAACCATGTTTTGTTTTTGTTCTCTTTCATGGTCAGTATCATCAACAGATCTTGGGCAACCTCTGCTGGAAGCCAGGATGGTAAATCTAGAAACAAGCAAATTGTTCTTCTCCAAGACCACCCTGTGCTCTCTCTGCTGTGTCAGTGTACTGTCAGCGAGGAGGTTTGAAGGGGCCCTGAAGTACAGGGTTTGGATAGAAGAGAGAAAGTCGTCTTCATTCCTACCATATTTTTGTACAGTTTCCTTTCCTCTGTTTTTTCTGAAGACAATAGGTCTTGCAAAATTAGCATCCCCCATAATGTGGGTATCAAATTTGATCATAAAATGAAAAGAAGCAGCCCACTTTTAGTGCCTAGGGAAGTAAGATGGCATTCACTGAATTTGCATTTCAAGTTTTCAAGGTGGCCTTTAATTTGCCTGAGGCATGAGAAAAGAGGAGAGAATATTTTAAATGGAGTTTTGACTGCCTTACTTATAAAAGCTGTGGACAGGGCAAATTTCCACATTTGAAACCAGTAATACATTGAGGAGAAGAGAATGGTGTACTTTGTGTTTATGCAGGAACTTGTAAGGAATGAGTAGATGTGTGCTTATGGAAGATACTTTGGAACATCAGAAATGCAGCTTTTTTCTTTACAGCTGTCATGAAGGATCTGTGAGGGAGCAGACATGCAGGTATATAGCTCCTTTAAGCTAAGAGTATTTCTCTTCTTCTACTCAGGGTCAATTGAAAAAGGACCAGGAGTAAAACGTTTGAGTTCCCTCGATGATAAGATCCCACCGAAGTCACCCCGTCCACGTCGGAATATCTGGTTGTCACGCAGCCAGTCGGATATCTTCTCCCGCAAGCCTTCCAGGAAGATCAATGTGCAGGACCCCTACTATACACCTAACAAAGGGTTAGGCCGGAAAGTGAATCCCTTCAGTGCCCGGGAGGACCTCAAAGGGGGGAAGATCAAGTTCTTTGACATGCCAAGCAAGTCGGTGATTTCCCTCGTGTTTGACTTACATTCTCCAGAGGCAGGTGGGAGCCTGAACGCCAGCCAGTCCCAGTTCCGGCAGCCCTATAGCACAGACTGGCAAGAATCCTCCCTTCTTCCTGGGAGGAGATGCAGATCACTTCCGCTCTCTCCTGAACTGCCACACAAGGAATATGGACTGTTTGGGGGACTGTCTTCAACTGTCAGCAGATGTGACCCAATCCAGCTGGGTGCAGAGGTTCGGCAAAAACTCCTCAGTAGCAGTAAATATGGTGTGTCAGAGATTCCCCCCTTTCAAGCCAAGCCTCACAGGTCAGGATTTCTTCCTGTACCAGGACAAGAGGAGGATATGGACTGTTCAGATGGGCCAGTGGCCCAGGAGGAGAATGGGTTTTGCCGTGTTGAGAACACTTGTGGAGATCCAGCATGTAATCAGCCATCAGTGCTGGCCCAGCCTGAGTCGTTATCTTACAAAAAGCTCCCAGTTGAGAATTCAGTGAACTCTGAGGGACATGGCTCCTCACAAGTGTTTGCAGGTTGTATCCCTTCTGAAGAGATGGAGGTGGAAGATAACCTGCTGAAAAATACTCTGCTAGAATCTACAAAGCCTCTCTTCAGCGTTAGTCCTTCTACTGAACTGAAGAGAGAGGCATGGCCCTTCAGGAAGCAGGATGGGGACAGTCCTGCCCTGTTGTCTCAGACGTCCTCCAACATCTCAGCAAGTGGCAGCACACAGTCAGCTTGTGATATATGAAGAGAGGGCTCAAACTGAACGTGTCCTTGAGGGAACAGTTGTTCCCAGTCACTTAAACTCTTGTTTTTCTGTAGTGCTGGGCTTCATATTTGGAAGAGACTCAGCAGATGGTAGAAACTGGCTGTCAGAGATAGCTGCAGATAGTGTCTGGAGAGACTGATTATTTTAACTTTATTTCAAATTGTGCTTATTCCCTTCCCTGATTTGCATTAGGAGGGAGAACTACTCCAGCCAGAATGGCCATGTGGGCTCCACAGTCCTTCCAAGAGGCAGCAGCCAGAGCAGGCACCGTGTAAACAGTTTTACCTGGATTCCAGCATGGAGCATTTCAAGGCCTTAAGCTCCATGTTGGGTAGGAAGTTTTTCCCTCTTCCTCTGACTGACCACTTCCTTTTACAGCAGATACCTACTTTACCACTGCAGATCTTGCATTAGCATTCTGCAGCAATGCATGTGAGTGGAAGCCTCTGTTTTAGAAACAGGCACAGAGATCTTTCAGAGCTGTGTTGAGCAGATAGGAATGCTCTCTGGTCCCAGAGATGCTGTGAATGCTGTTGCAGTGTTAAACAAGCTCTTCTTTCAAAAGCAGCAAAACCAAACCCCCTCATGCTGGTTGCAATCTGCAGGCTGAGTTACATGACAAGTACTTTGTGATTGATACGAAGAATCTGTTATCTGGCGTTTCATTTTCCCTTGGGATTTGGTAGTGATGTGTATTTGTTAGTGCAGGGAAGCAGGATGTGGTAAGCACCACTATCCTCCTTGCACGGCTCTTCATGTATCTCAACCCAAATGTGGAGGAAGATTTGCCCAGGGCACAAGAGGAGAACCATGTTCCAGACATTGTCATTTCTGGGCCTCTGGAGAAACTGTCCCTGAAAGTACCAGCTGTACAGAGTTTTTGGGTGTGGGCTTTTGCCTCTGAAGAGCTGAAAGGACATCATGATCTGTTTCTGCAGAATAGTTAGTTAAATAGAGTATCTACATCACAGTTGACTATTACCACTAAACTGGAAGTGTCACATTCACCTCCCCCTCTGGTACGACATCCCATCTCATTGATAATATCACTGCAGTAATGAAGGCTCCTTATTTAAAACCAAATTGCTTGAAAGAGGACAGGAATCCCCTGCTCAGGGGAAGCTGCCAGTAGTGTTGCAGCCACACAAGTGCTCTTGGAGAGGATAGACAGTAGACTCAGAAGGGTTTTGAATTGTCAAACTGAAGAAAATTAGCTTGTCCCAAATTAACCTTTTTTAAAATCCTACAGAAAGAAGCTGTTGTCTTCACTGGCTTCTCCTGTCACTGACTAGGATGATCTTTCTCTTCTTTAATTTTTTTCCTTCTTTTTCTTCCCTCCACCAGCAGGTACATGTGAAAAAAGCAGCAGCATAAGCTTTAATGCTGCTTGCTGGAACCAGCATCAGAGATACCTGCTCTGGGATGCAATGTATGAGAAAGCTTGGTCTGTGATGTTGTTTGTGCAGCATCCTGCCATTTTATACTATCGTTGTCCTAACAAGATGGGATTTGTAAATTACTATTTTTTTTAACCTGTATTATTATCATTCCTAACTGAGGTATGCACTGCATGCCTGCTGAGCAGATGGTGATGCAGTGGAGCCCAGAATTTCACCCAGGTAGCCTGTTACACTCTCTTCCTGCTCACTTGTAAGGATGGAAAATGTAAGCTAGTCTCTGATGGAAGCAAGACTATTCCTACTCTTCCTATCTTGAAGATGGAGAAAGCCTTAGTTCTTTATTGGCTGAGTTGCTTATCTTCCCAGAGGTGCAGGTAACTATTCTGAGTTATGACTTCCTCTTGTGAAGTACACGTTAACCTGAGCAGCAGTTATCCCTTGGCAGTGGCTGCGCAGAATTAAATGAGAAACCCAGCGTTGCTGAGTTACCCAGCACAGTCTATGGCAGATTAGGCATCTGTGAGCAGTGTGAAAGAGAAAATGCCTGTGCTTTCCAACATCACCCCTTTTGGCCCACACCTCTCTGCCTCTCAAAGGTGGTGATCTGTAGAGTAGTCTGTCTTGTGTATCCTGTCTGCAGGGCTTGTGTCTGCGGAGTGCAGAAGAGCTTGTATGGCTGGCACTGTGTGTGTATTAACTTCCTTTGAGGACAGGGAAACGGTCAGCAGAACTCAAATTGCCAGCTAGTAGCCTCCCTGGTGCCTGCTTTTTATTTTACTTTTTGTTTTCTTTTTCTCCTCCTTTATCTTTTACACAATTGTAATCTTTCAGGAGGGAAACCGTCAGCACCAGCTTCTGTTGTCACGAAATGCATTTTAGGTGTGTGACTTCAGACAAACAAGCAATAATAAGGAATAGTTTACTTCTGGATCAGCAGGCTGAGAGGAAGCTGTCCGGCACGTTACAACTGCCTGCGGCCTCACTGGGCTTGCATTAGCCCTGGTTGTCAGCACTGACACCTCATCGGGAAGCATGTTGCCCTCTCTTGACACTGACTGCAAAGCCTATGCAGTCAGGCTTGGGGTACCTCTGTGGCACCCATCACAGCGACCTCATCTGTTTTCTTACACCAGTCTCTTAAAATGTTTCCCTGCCCTGAGCAGGTCTCTTATAAAGCAGCATGGCTAACACTTTATTTTCTTAAGTGTCCACTCTAAGCACAGCCAGCTGACGTGTACAGGGCACATCTATCAACTTCTCTAGCTGTTTGTACTGAGGTGGATGTCAGAAACACCAAGGAATAGCAGCTCAGGCCTTTCCTGGATTCTTGGTCTGCATGGGAAAAAGAGGCTTGTGTATGAAACTGGAGTAAAAGTGCTCACTAAACCCCAGTGTTTCCAAGGGTCTGGATGCAGTTAGCACTCACTACATCTCACCCTTGGGTGGTGTAAAGCTGAATCTAGGTTGGACCTAGGAACTACTCGTAGGTTTTCTGCCTGAGGGTGCTTTTCTACAGGGGGCCATTTTCTGACAGCTACTGCTGAACATGAATATAAACATGTGGTCAGCAAACTCCTTGTTTTATAGTGATGTAACAAAGTTTTATTGTGATTGGATTTTATCATGATTTCTGACTTTCTTAGAGGAGCAGTTCTTGCTCTTTTAAAACTTTCTACACATTGCTAGGTTCCCTGAAGAGATCAAAGATGTTTTTAATTCACTTTAAATCTTTCTATGTTGAATTCATTTAAATGTCTGTTATAAGCTATTTTTGTGGTGGTTGCAGGTTGATCAAATGCAACTGAGAAAATGCATGTGAATTGCTGCCCCTCTAAAGCAGTGCAGACAAGGGGCTGTAGTAGACTCGTTGGAGAGGTATTGATGTATGATGTGTAACAGAACATTGGTATTTTTTGCCAGTACAACTAAAGACACTTGAATAATTCCTGTTTGCACTTAATGCTATTGTTTATATTGCATGTCACTACATTTCTATGCAAAACAAATAACCTTTTTTTTTTTT